CAAATATTTTTGTTACATTTAAGCCAGAAAAATTGAACTTCTGTCATTTTGCAACATAGAACCTTTTTTTCCTTAATTTTCAAAAATGTTAAAAAATGTAAAAATTATAGTAAAATATGAAAAATGTTACACCCAGATTTTGGCAAAAAAAATTGTACATTAATTGATTACATTCGTCTGTAGTTGGTGCTAAGAGATAATGATTTAATATCACTGCCAAAAGAAATAGGTGGGTTGGAAAGATTAAAGGAACTTCATATACAGGGCAATCGGCTCACGGTGATTCCTCCAGAGTTAGGTAAGTACATGGTTTATTACTGTTAGCTGATCTCGTTCATTGATAACTGCTGAGGAGAGTCTCTGAAAAAAAACTGAAAAATGGAAACATAATATGTAAAGCTAACATGTATATACTGTTCTCAATATTTTTTTCAACAAAGATGTTTTTCCTGTTGAAAATACCAAACTTGTCCTTATTTTGAGATCTCCAATGGGGAATGAATGAAACGAATTTGGTGTATGATTCCCGATTTTTCGATATTAGAATTTGTCACTAATGGATTCCACATAAATTACTTGCAAACCAGTGAAAATAATTTCACTGGAATTTAAGTTTGATGATTTGAAGTGAAATTCAAATGAATATATAAACTATTTTACATTATTACAAATGCATTTTAATCTTACAGTAATATGATATAAAATTTACTCTTTTAGGTAAACTGGATCTTGTTGGAGAAAGGCGCGTCTTTAAAGGTGACAACAATCCTTGGGCTGCACCAATAGCTGATCAGTTCCAAGCAGGAATAGGTCATGTGTTTGATTATATCAGATCTGATACTTATAAATAGTAAGTCTTGTCATGGGCGGATAAATTTAGGCACTGGCAACTTCTCTAGTCATGCAACATAGAAGTCGTTAAAGTCTAATGGCTTGTGAAACCCTGGTCTGCTTGGTTCAAAAATTAACATTATCATAGACAAAAATTGACACCAGAACTGCACACCTAACATGCTTGTTATTTCTTTCCTCCAGTTTATATGGTCGACACACCCAAGCGGCGGCAGCAGCACCACCAAAAACTAGTGACAAGTCGAAAAAGATCAGCAGAAAAGCAAATTCTGCGAGAAAATGAAGATGATGCCAGGAGCTTTTCAGAATTAGTTACGTACTAGAAAATAGAGAAAAAAAAGTAGTGAATGACGTCACGTAGCATCACATCATCATGACATGTTATAATTATTATTTACGTAGCTATTCACATTTTTGACGGATTGACAGCTGCGTTGAACTCGGCTGAGAATATACTATTCCTATCCAGCAGTCTGTGCATAATTGGTGTAAGGTGTGCAACGGCAATATTATTTTGAATAGTAGTCTTTCATCAAAATTTGTTTAAAGATTTGAAATATTCTGTTGTTTGCTTTGCTCGACATCGCCTTCACCTATAGACCACTTTCCCGGAAGTCGAAGATACGGCGTTTCACATGCA